CAATCTAATGTGTCAATAAATGAATGAATAAAAGACACAATCTAATGTGTCAATAAATGAATGAATAAAAGACACAATCTAATGTGTCAATAAATGAATGAATAAAAGACACAATCTAATGTGTCAATAAATGAATGAATGGAAGACATAATATCTAGATAAAAGTTAAAAAGGATGAGAAAACTAAGATTGAACCAAGTTAGTAAATAAAAAGCTACCAAGTTAATTAATTGGTCTATTTTTATTGATATCCTCTATTGAAGTAAATTAGCTATTGTAGAATTCATTCCATTTCCCTCATCACTTTGAAGTTGGAGAAAAAAAAAGCTATTTATCTGAAATGTTTTTTCTAATGAAAACAAATGGAAAATTTAAATTCAATGAAGTAAGATGACATTAAGAGTTTGTGTATGACATCAGAATCAATAACTCACTCACCTGATTCCAAGTGTATTGCTTTTCTTTTCTACAAGTCACAGACTCATTGTCAAAAACATTGTAACTTTCAGGGATTACTTTATACTTATTGTAAAAATATGATACTGATTTTGTCATACTTATTGTAAAAATATCATAGGGATTTTGTCATACTCATTGTAGAAATATAGGGATTTTGTCATACTTATTGTAAAAATATCATAGGGATTTTATCATACTTATTGTAAAAATATCATACTGATTTTGTCATACTTATTGTAGAAATATCATACTGATTTTGTCATACTTATTGTAGAAATATCATAGGGATTTTGTCATACTCATTGTAGAAATATAGGGATTTTGTCATACTCATTGTAGAAATATAGGGATTTTGTCATACTTATTGTAAAAATATCATAGGGATTTTATCATACTTATTGTAAAAATATCATACTGATTTTGTCATACTTACTGTAAAAATATCATACTGATTTTGCCATACTTATTGTAAAAATATCATACTGATTTTGTCATACTTATTGTAAAAATATCATACTGATTTTGTCATACTTATTGTAAAAAATATCAAAGGGATTTTGTCATACTTATTGTAAAAAATATCAAAGGGATTTTGTTATACCGGTACGTTTTGTTGAAAATATCATATCTTTTAGTGATAAATATCATAGAGATTTTGTCATACTTAGTCAACTCTGTTTCAGTTGTTTGTATCACTTATTTTATATTTTCGTAACCCAGTAACCCTGATGATATTTTCAATTATTGGTTATAGTAAAAATAAATGTGAATGATAGCCATCGAACAACATTTTCTCCAATTTAATAGTTGTGTTCATTTGTTTGAAATATAATTATCTGGATAATATTAGCAATGTCCGTTTCTGTGCCACTTTTGATTGGCCAATTGGTGCAGGTGTTTGTTTAGATGATTTACTAACCCCTTTTTTAGGGTTTACTACATGTGATTGATTAATAGAAAAAAGGTTTATAAAAGACGTGATATTTGCTACCTATTAATATATGTTAGTTTACACTAAAATTTCACTTATGGTACATGAGTTCAAGTATGTCTCAAACCAATATTTCACTTATTATTGTGTGTATTTCTGAAATATTTTATATTTCTTTGTAATTTCAGGGTTTTGTACCTCTATATCAGAGTTGGGAGAATTTCTACAAGCGTAACATGTATAACCGAGTGGGAGATTGTTGTAATAGACCAATTGGAACAATGGCTGGTCCTACCATGGATGTACTGGACTGGAAAGCTGAACATTTCGGAAAATCTTTAGAGTAAGTTTAAAAGTATTTTTGTATGTTATAAAGGTTGTATAGTATCTAGATGTAGTTGTATGAGAATATTTCAGGTGTGACGAGAGTGGTAAATGTCAGAATGTGTGGAATTTTTTAACATAGCAGGATTTTAAAGAGGACATGTCTAACTCTCAGAAAAATTACAAAATAGACGGAATTTATGAACTCAAATTTCAGCAGAATTACATAGCTTAGACATGAAAAGAAATGCATGGTTTTAGTGGAATTGCAAGACCTAAACACACCTGCGGAATGGTGCAAATTGATTCTATCAGTGTCTCAATACATTAAAAGTTTAAAAAACCTAGAAAGCCACTCTGCTATTCCTTTTAAGTAATAAAAATAAAATTGAGTATAATGAATGATCAATATACTCTACTGAGTCCATAATATATTAACTGCTTGTAAAATACTTGTACATTTTTTGATTTCCATCATGTTGAAGTATTTTTATCAATATAGATATTAACCAGAAATGGTGAATTTCTCTTCTCAAAGGGATATAGTCATCTAAATTTTTGTTTTACAACTACTAGAACCTAGGATTATTTCATCCACAGACTTGGGCAAAACGAACCAGCCCCTTTCTGGGGGGTGCCATGGCTCCCCCTACCCCCCATAGAAGCACCGGTGGAACAATCCTCATCAGGACAGTTTTTAGGTAATGGGGTTCAAAGTTCCAAAACTTCCAGATTTGCAGTGTTTGACAAATGATATATAGTGGTGTAGAGCTTATCTGATGCTGAGAACACATGTTTAGGATAAAGAACCCGCATCAGGACAGCTTCATTGCTAACTGGGTTTAACTTTCCAAAATTAGATTTTTGGTGTTTGTTTCAATAAATTCAATACAACCACTACGTGCAAGTCCATTATCCTCAAATTTTGCCACACGAGATCTGACGACTATTTTCAGAATTCACTATGTACTAGTACAGTGCCTCTGAGATCATTCCTCCCTGGAAGAGATCTTCCAAATCTATTTCTTCGAATGGTTTTCCAATTCAGAGAAGCAACTAGTTTCTTTAACAGGCAGTAAACCTTTACAGTTTCAGATTTTCAAATGTTAATCACTTTCAAGTTTTTTTCCTGAATATTTTTAGTAGCGAAGCAATTTCATTTCATGAATAATTAATCTGGAAAGTTTTTAGTTTTTGACGTTTGGAATTTGAAAATCAATCGTCTGTTACATTGTGTAGTTTGACAGTCATATTTGAATTATGTTAATGGTACCAAAGGAAAGGTACAAATAACAGTAAAGACATGTCTGATATTCTAAGAGTGGAATTCAAAACCTTAACAATCTTAAATTACACCTAAACAATTAGTTTACTATATTTCCTAATAAGGGCCACTATTTAGATTCTGTCCAATGTTCACTATTTAGATTCTGTCCAATGTTCACTATTTAGATTCTGTCCAATGTTCACTATTTAGATTCTGTCCTATGTTCACTATTTAGATTCTGTCCAATATTCACTATTTAGATTCTGTCCAATGTTCACTATTTAGATTCTGTCCAATGTTCACTATTTAGATTCTGTCCAATGTTCACTATTTAGATTCTGTCCAATGTTCACTATTTAGATTCTGTCCAATGTTCACTATTTAGATTCTGTCCAATGTTCACTATTTAGATTCTATCCAATGTTCACTATTTAGATTCTGTCCAATGTTCACTATTTAGATTCTGTCCAATGTTCACTATTTAGATTCTATCCAATGTTCACTATTTAGATTCTGTCCAATGTTCACTATTGAGATTCTGTCCAATGTTCACTATTTAGATTCTGTCCAATGTTCACTATTTAGATTCTATCCAATGTTCACTATTTAGATTCTGTCCAATGTTCACTATTTAGATTCTGCCCAATGTTCACTATTTAGATTCTATCCAATGTTCACTATTTAGATTCTATCCAATGTTCACTATTTAGATTCTATCCAATGTTCACTATTTAGATTCTATGCAATATTCACTATTTAGATTCTGTCCAATATTCACTATTTAGATTCTGTCCAATGTTCACTATTTAGATTCTGTCCAATGTTCACTATTTAGATTCCATCCTATTTTCATGGGGCAATATGATATTTTGAATTTACACTATTTATCATAACAATAGTATATATATTTTTATTGTTTTCCCCTATATGGGAATTTGTGATAAAATTTATCCATTTTGTTATTTGTACCTCTCTTCTGAAAATGGCCTGTTTATAGACAATAATTATGGAATTTGTCTCAGTAATATTAATTTTGACATTTCAATGTAGTATTATTATTATTACCCTAACCTTCCAGCAGGATTGTTGATTGTCTGCTGTCTGTCGGTTATGTCTGGCTGCAATCAGAATGTGTCAACCAATCAATGTCAAACCAAATGACAAGATGCTATACAACAGGAACTGCAGTGTCTCAGTGAATTAGAGGCTTGCTTGTTTGCCTGAAGGTCAAGGGTACAAGTGCAGCACTTATATTTTCCATAGTATATCCACCTATCACATGATCTGAGTGTGGGTGGGTTTGAGGGATTAAAAAAAAAAAAAAAAAATTACACCACGGGTGCAGAAGAAAAGGTTTTAATTTTTTAACCATGTTTTCCCCATTGTCATCTATGTTGTTCAGGAGCCTTGATGGCTCAGTGAGTTGGATGCTTGCTCGCTGTCCTTGAGGCCCAGGGTTCAATCCAACATAGGAGTGATGATATTTTCATAGCATTGCCACATTTCAAGTTGTACTATCAAGTAGAGAAAAGTAAGATGTAAGCTGCACTATTTCATTTCAACCTCTTTGCCTTGTTTGGTATGAAATAAGTAAATATCCTATTTGTAAAGAGTAAATGAACATGTCGTGCTAACAGATAATACTAGTTGTATATTGACAAGTTATATTTGTTATATGATTAGACACAATACAGTAATAATACCTTATTTCTATATTAAATTGATTTTTACTTAATTATACCCACGAACTAACTTAGTGCTTATTAGTTATTGTTTTTTCTGCTCCCAGCTGATTCCTTCTGGATTTGCCAAGATATGAATAAGCAATATTGTCTTCCCTTGAAAAAACATTAGGGTTTGTTTATGTATTTGGTTGCTATGACTACTTAAGATATGACATAATGTATTATGGGTTGACACAGGGCTGACTCTCAGCACTAATTAACAGGGCAAACTGACTCAATGAGTTGACAAATGTCTAGACTGAATTCAAAATGCAGCAACTCTGATGAGGCGTCATGGTTGCAAACTTATTATTAAGCGTCTAAGCGTCTAAGGAAAATTGTTGTGTATTGAATTGACCTGGTGCATTCTGGGAAATGTTTTGGGGCAAAAATGTATAACGTTTTAAATTTGTTGTAAAGAAAGTGCCAACCATCCCCCAGCCCTCTATACCTCCCCTGTACCCCCACTGGCAGCTCCAGTGGTCAAGGACCAGCTGGTAGAGAGAATACTTATCAAGCTAAGTTGTTATCTATACTTTGTAAGATAGTACAGTGTAAAATAACAACAGATGTAGGGCCAAGTCTCTTTTCTAAGATGATGATTTCTCAGAACCAATTCTATGAATTTTGCATCTTTTATTTCCAGGTTAACTGGCGATAGAATACCAGCCATGAATTTTGGATCATATAATTATTTAGGATTCTCTGAGAATAATGGATTATGTGCAGCCACTGCTATAGAAACACTGTGTAATACCAGTATTGGGGTGTCTTCTTCTCGCCAGGAAATGGGTAAGATTCAAATTTTGTTATCCACAAACTTTACACACAGTACATCTTATTACATTTTGAATTTAATCTTTATTACTCAAAGTGATAAATGATAAGTATGTATGTTCTCTTCTTGTGACCCTGGCCGGTGCTTCTATAGTACAGTATCTTCTATAACACCCAACACAGGTCACCCCGACCAGTGCTTCTATAGGAGAGTATCTTCTATAACACCCAACACAAGTGACCCTGGCCAGTGCTTCTATACGAGAGTATCTTCTATTACACCCAACACAGGTCACTCTGACCAGTGCTTCTATAGGAAAGTATCTTCTATAACACCCAACACAGGTGACCCTGGCCAGTGCTTCTATAGGAGAGTATCTTTTATAACACCCAACACAGGTGACCCTGGCCAGTGCTTCTATAGGAGAGTATCTTTTATAACACCCAACACAAAGATACAAGTTAAGCTTTCATTAACTCCTTATTGTCATAGAAAAATTCTCCTCAATGCACACTGTTGCCATACATTCATAGAGAGGACAAAACTCAGTAGTAAAATTCTAATAAAAAACTAAATGGTGCAGAAAAATGTGACATTGGCTTCAGAGTTTACTACCTTGCCCGTGGGGACTTGTGATGAATTAGTTTGAGAAACTTGTATCTGGGATATTATTAAAAGTAAAATATGCTTAGAACTTCAGAGATATTGGCCTGGTATATCAATAGTTAACTTGCCTTGAGGGAAAAAAATGAAATTATTTTATATAACAGATTATCAATAATACTAATATTCTGAACATGACTCAAGGGAGATAACTACAGAATTTGTAGTTTGTAGATGAACTAACAGATATTGTGTACTTGTTATCTATTATTCTGTTAAAAGATACATATCAGCTTGTGTATGTTTTCTGTCAGACGATTTGATATTAAAGGGATCATGAAGTTCTTTTCTAAATTTTGTTTGTGTATTGGGGACACTGATAGCCTGAATTTTCTCCAATTTTCAATCAGATGTCTGTGGTTCCTGCAATATAAAAGTCTAAGTGTCTGAAGACGTCACTATTCACAAAAAATGCTTTGTAACATAAGGCCATTCACTATTAGTGACATCATCAAACACTTAGTTTTAATGGAATTGCAGGAGCCACAGGCACCTGATTGAAAATTGGAATGATGTTATCAATGTCCCAAATACACAAATTTAAAAAAAAAAAAAAATTTAAAATCCCTTGTCTTGTTCCCTTTAACACAAAGGTATACTACTTCTTAAAATAGACATAAAATTCTCCAACTTGATCAATAAGAGTATAATAATATTCATCAGTTGGGACTTACCAGGAGCCATGACTAATAAATAGAATCTCTACATAACACAATGTATCCATTAAAATAAATAATTATTGAAAAAAGACACTTTGAAGCATGTTTCAAAATTACTTAGTTTAATAGGTTTATTGAATTATAAGGAGATTCTTTCACATAGTTGTGACACTGGTCAGGTAAGTCCACTGATGAACAAAGACTCATTTTGACCAAGTTTAAAAGTCACCCTAAGAGGTGGTATACCTTTAAAAGTGGCATGAATGAACCTAGTAATTATATTGCAGGCTATCTACAGATCCACCAAGAACTGGACAAACTAACAGCTGAGTTTCTAGGTGTAGATGATGCCATCACTTTTCCCATGGGATTTGGAACTAATTCTATGAATCTGCCATGTTTTATGGAACCAGTAAGTTTGAGTAGTCATTTTTTTTTTCGCTAAACTAATCAGTATTTATTTATTTATTTCAGGGTTGTTTATTATTAAGTGATATTGTAATGATTTATTTCAGGGTTGTTTATTATTAAATGATATTGTAATGATTTATTTCAGGGTTGTTTATTATAAAGTGATAATGTAATAATTTATTTCAGGGTTGTTTATTATTAAATGATATTGTAATAATTTATTTCAGGGTTGTTTATTATTAAATGATATTGTAATGATTTATTTCAGGGTTGTTTATTATTAAGTGATAATGTAATGATTTATTTCAGGGTTGTTTATTATTAAGTGATGAATTAAATCATGCCTCGTTAGTCCTAGGATCAAGATTAACAGGTGCCACGATTAAAGTTTTTAAACATAACAGTAAGTCAACTTTCTTATACTTTTATATCTACTTTGATATATAAAGATATTTATCTAAACTTACTGCAATGTTCAGATATCTGCTTGATGCTTCATAACAGTAAGCTTAAGTTGACCTTTTTATATAAATTGATAAAAATATATTTTTAAACACAGAATCACTGGATTCTCATTTCCCTTTGTGAATTTATTTTCATTTTCTGAACTTTGTGTTTTTGTTCCAGATATGGAGGATCTAGAAAAGAAACTAAAAAATGCTATAGTTGAGGGTCAGCCTAAAACTCATCGTCCCTGGCGTAAAATATTAATAGTTGTCGAAGGTATTTATAGGTAAGTCTCAAGGATAAAAATTTTTGCCAGTCAAGGTGGTACACTAATATATTTTTTGATATTATGTGATGACTGGCAGGGGTGTATTTAGAAACTGAAAGACATCTCTCCAAGACCAAACCTAAGACGTCTAGAAGCTAAGGGATTTCAGATTTCCTGGCAAGATTTTACTTCAAATTGAGACGTGTCACAGGCCTGAGGGGAGAGGCCATGGTGCAATGACCCACCCTCTAAACATGCCACTGATGACTGGCCATCTAGTGCTCAAATTTCTTATGGGACATGTTTTAATTTATGCAGTAAAGAAAAATAGCATGATATTTTCCCTGTTTTCGAATCTGTTGGCAAATCTCTTGGCATTATCTGTGCTCTATTACAACCTGCTCTCAAAGAATGAACAGTAATTATTATGTTGTATAGATGTCTATTAGTTATACTAGCACAGGAGAGTCCTGTTAAAATAAGCCACAAAATCTTTACTTTATGAAATAATAACCCAATGAAATGTCTTAATCTGACATTTATTTGAATTTAAAAATTTATTTTTTCAGCATGGAGGGTTCAATAGTTCGTCTTCCAGAAATATTACGATTAAAAAAGAAATACAAGGTATATGTGTATTTAGATGAGGCACATAGTATAGGAGCTTTAGGACCACATGGCCGTGGTGTCACAGATTATTTTGGTATTAATCCCAAAGAAGTTGATATACTCATGGGCACATTTTCTAAAAGTTTCGGGGCTGCTGGTGGATATATTGGAGGATCTCGGGTAAGTTTTGGGATTATTTTAGCCTCTTTTCTTGAGGGAGCCACACCCACCACTGGCCTGCCAATAAAAATACCACTGTTTTGAAATTGTGATATGTCCCAATTTCTGATAATAGAATCATCTTTTATGAGAAGGAAAGACACAAATTCAGTTAATGTCATACAATTTTTATATTTTCTGTGTAATTACTTATCATATATCCATATCACTGTATAGCCTGGTCTTTCAATAATCAACCACCTTCATAGTCACCACCTTACCATTATCAAGTATTTTACCAATATATTATCTGGAATTCAGGTTATTGTTTTCGCGTCATAAGTGCTTAGTTTATTTATATTGCCTTGACCCCTTTCAGTACAAGTTTTGCTGTAATGTTTGTAATATTTATTTCAGTCTATAATCAACTATTTACGAACCAGGTCATACACAAATGTATATTCCTGTTCTATGTCACCCCCTGTCACTCAACAGATTATTACATCAATGAGAATTATCATGGGACGAATGTGTGGAAATGATGGTATGTTATTAAAATTTGTTAAAATGATTGTAAAGAGGTTTTCTAACTTGTATATGCGTATCAGGGACAATGATAGCATCAATTTGCACTGTTTTAATTCTTCAGTGGTTCCTGAAGTTCCACTAAAACTAAGTGTTTTATGCTTGTGTTTTAGTAGAATTGCTAGAACCACAGACAGCTGATTGATGCTATGATTGTCCCCGATACACATACAAAATTTAGAAAACCTCTTTTATTATTAGGACTATTTTCTATTGAGTTTGAGTGAGTTCCATAAGAAAAGCTCTTAAGTGTATCAAGGCTTCTACTTTTATTCAAATTTTCAATCAGTGGTCTGTGGCTCCTGTAATTATAGAAATGCATAGTTGGAAAAATAGTAGTAATTTTGACAAAATATGAAAGCAGTATTTCCAAAGCTCAAAGAAATAATTTTGGAAGAAATAATAGATACAAATGTCCCTAAGAGGATAAATCTTAAAATGATATAATTTGAAATAATTCTAGGTTTAAGACGTATTCGACAGTTAGCATGGAATACACGCTATGTTCGTCGACGACTGCGAGAGTTTGGGTTTATTGTCTATGGTAACAAAGATTCTCCTGTTATACCCATCATTATTTATTACCCTGCAAAATTAGCGTAAGTCATTTTCGCTATGTATCTATCTATAGTACAGTCAGTAAGAGGCTTGGTTCTTTCCCTGGCGTCATTTATCTGGTTACTGGTATACATCTCGTTAGATTACATTAGAGAAGGAATCAAATAAGTAATAATGAAATGAATTTGTCATCTGATTTTACTTAGATTGAATATTTTGAGGCTCGACAATAACCTATTTGTTTTGCCTCAACCAATCATTGTGAGTGAGTTGAACGCTTGCTCACTCCAGGGCTCAATCAAGTATAGGTTGAGATGTTAATTTCCCCCTGTCAGTGATGCAGGTTGGAGGAGCTGATAAGGATGGGACAATAAACCAGCCCATGTGATTTATCCTGTAACTATTGGTATTTATTTATAGAACATTAGAAAGAGAATGTCTGCAAGCTGGACTGGGTATAGTTATAGCTGGGTTTCCTGCTACAACTATTATAGAATCTCGTTCACGCCTCTGTCTCTCAGCAGGACATACTAAAGAAATGCTGGACAAGGTAAGAATCATGGTGTATATTCCCTGAACCATTCATTATATGTCATTTTATCTTGAAACATTGGGCATATTATTAGTGAGGAAACACATTCCATACAAGATCATCAAGGTATTTTCTTTAAAGAGGCATCCCCATACATGTGTAATCTACCGATGTTGTCGGGTTTCTACCGCTTTTGCATGTTGTCTACCACTCTACCGACGGGATACCCGATTCTACCGATTTTTGTTTTTTTTTCCTGATCAAATTTTTATGGGACCTACCGTTTTCGATGTTCAAATTCTCTACCATAAATCAACCAAAATATCTCTCATTACTTGTATCTTAATTGCCGGTAACAAGCGTTAATCTCATCACATAATAATATTATCATTGCCTGATTAATTAATCCCCCAATTAAGATGGTAAGTTGATCTATTTTCACCCGATAATGTGTATTTTGCCCACGTGACCCCCTTTTATAACAACTTCCGGTAGATTCTACTTTCGCTTTTATAATAAATTTTAAATGCCCCATCCCGCTTTTTTGTAGGTAGAAAAATATGGCTCTTACAGATTCTTTAGGTTTCTATTAGTAATATAGAACCATTATAAAGCCAAACACCAAAACTAGGTCAAACTGCTTAATTAATAATTAGTTCTCTTCGTTTTTAATCATCCCTTTTAAAACAAATTCAGTTTGATCAAGAAGATACATAGATATAAATAGCATAATTTAGAAATATTTTCAGGTATAATTTACAACGTTTTTGATAATGAATTAAAAAAAAATCTTAAAAGTTTCTGCTCCTATTTTATCTTGACTTTAAAGAGTGTGCGGGCAAAAAAGAGAATTCTGTGGCATGGTGGTTTGAGTATATCAGTTAGGAATTATAGGGTGTAAATTGCAGTAAACATTAATGTTAATAATTTCTCTTTCTATTATTCCAGGCGTTAGATATATTAATTGGAATTGGTACCAAGTTACGTTTAAATTACTCCAGATTACCCAAAACTCCAGAATTTAGAGAAGATGATTCTATACTTATTAGAGATTAGGTTCGTGCATTTTTTTATACTTGCTTAAAATGATAAATGAGAAACGACAATTTTCCAAATCCCTAGAATGAATTGCTGTGCTGATGGGACTAGTGAATGCACCTGTTCTAAAAGTGTGCAAATTCAAAAAATTCCTTTCTTAGAAGGGTAATATGTTGTTGCCCCAAGTAGAATTATGCTATAGCATACTTTGCTGACAAATGTTTTTAGAATATTGAAGACAGGTCAACAGTATGAAGTGCCTAATTGGTTTTACCAAGGCTAACAAGGTGATCTCTTTCAGATCACTGATATAACAACGTTTTTCAGCAATGTTAATCCTTGAATCCATGTAAAATATAGTTACCTTACAGTGGTCTTCAAATTCCATAATAATTATGTGAAAACAGATTAACAATCTCTTTTATAATTCATGGTTTATATTTCAGTATGTAAAGGAACTATTTTGTCTCTAAGTAATGGAATGGATGGATGAACGAACGAACGAGAGAAAACCATTTTTTTTATTTAATTAACTCTGTAATATTCATATTATATAATACCAGTTCAATGGAGTGAATTTGAGTCCAAGATTAATTGTATGTGCATATTAAATTAGTGTGCATATATAATCATATTCTGTGCATATTTAATTGTCTGATATGCATATTTAGTTTGTATACATGATTACTATGTAAATTGCATATTTAGTTTATTTATGTGCGTATTCATTTAATTTATGTGCATTTATTATTAAATTATGCGCATACTAATCAATATGTTCATTAATTTAATGTATGCATTTGAACTAAGTAATCTGGTTTGTCAACTTAGATTATTTTTAGAATTGTGCAGTTGAAACAAATTGTGATAACGCCTCCATTTTGTAAATAAAGTGCATTGTAAATTTAAGTGCAATGATATTTCTAATTTTTTTTTACACTGATGAACGCATCTTCTTGAAAGTACTTGTTTTTTTTTAACTAGTCAGAACTAAAATATAGTTCGTTATAATTTTTATTCATTTCTTCCTTGTTGTGTTACAGATAGCTCTACTCAAACTTAAAGTTGAAAATAATGTAACCCAAATCTAGTGCCATAGAGCAGCTAGGTTGTGTTCTAGAGTAAACATATCTATGGCTACCTAGGTACATTTCTGTTTATAAACTGCTACATTCTCCTTTATTCAAAGTTTAAGTTTCAATCATTGGAGTATTTAGTTTAAAAAGAGCCTGTTAATAAAACTGAATAAAAATATCATTTTTTGCAAGCCAGCTATTCTTGTATTCTTATATGAACTTATATGCAAAGTATATACCCTCTTGTAAGGGAAGACTACAACTTTGTAAACGCAGAAATCATTTGTTCGATTGCTATTCATACTGATTGTAAATACACCTAACAGGGTATCAAATTCAGGAATTCATAAAACCATGGCAACATATTTCAAAACCTTTAATAATTGGGGATTTAACAAATAAGATGGCAGTATGAACAATTATTATTTTGTATTTTGAAAAGACCTTCATGGAAACTAATAGACTGAAAAAATTGAGATTTATCTTGTGTCTTTGTTCCTATAACAACTTAAGGTACATTTACATGACGACAAAATGTGAGAAATGTCATTACGCCTAATTTCTTACCCTGGACAAATTATAATGAAACTTTTACAGAGAAATTTGGAAAGAAGAATCAGCAAAGTATTTTTAGTTTCTCTAGTCAGACCTGATTGGCAAATAAGATATATAAAATCTACAGTAATGGAGAAAGTGTATAAAACAGTAGAGTTATTGTTTGTTTGCTATTTAAAGTAAGATTGTTGTAAGACCAAGGATCTGGAGCCCTGTTTCTCAACAACACAAATATATAGATTTTTATCGTGGGTGTACTATTAAAGGAATTGTAAAAAGGTTCTCTAAATTTTTTATGTGTATCGGGGACACTGATAGCATCAATTTACACCATGCTAATTTTAAATCATATGTTGGTGGTTCCTACAATTCCACTAAAACTAAAGTGTTGATGACATCACTAATTGCGAAGGCCCTACGTGATACAAGAATATTTCGCAAATAGTGATGTGATTTAACTCTTAGATTGTGTGGAATTGCAGGTACAACAGATGTCTGATTGAATATTAGAATGGTGTAAATTGATGCTATCAGTGTCCCGGATATACATACAAAAAGCTCTTAACTATCTCTTTAATTAGCAAAATTTCAAACTGTGATAAACATTATATTTTTGTCTCAATTGTAAAATTAACTTTGTGACTTTCCATACTGACAAAAAATTGTGATGGTGAGTTTGATGAAACACGGTGCAGATTCTTGGTCCTATTCTTGGTGAATTGTACAGAATTGAATTGTGCTTCCGATTAGTAGCTAGAATCAAACGCTAGAATGTTTCAAAACTTTTCCAGTAAAATGTCTGTTTGTCTCTAAAGTTTTGTTATGAGATTTCTTATAATGGTAACATTATGAAAAGGTGAAATAAATCCCAGCTGATTGAATGCTGTTGGAGTGTGTTTTGGATATAAGGCCTGTATCAGGACAATTCATTTGCAGATACGTAATTAAATCCAATAATAGTATTGTGTTGATACTAACCACAAAATTTTATCAAAGATTTTTTGTCAAGCAAAGATATAAATTTCGTCATTGTCCATGAAATATTGCAAGTTTTGAAATCTCAGTTGAAAATATTTCAGAGATCTACCAAGAAATATTATTTGCCATGTGGACTCTCTGAAGACACCCACTAAATATGATTTAGTATGTAAACTGTATTAAAAGGACACTGAATTGACACTCCTAATCATAGATTAGAATTCAGTGTAGAAAGTGAGGGATATTTACACCAACACAGTCATGAAATACAATTGAAATACAGTTTAACCTTTTAACTATCACAGTATAATCTCATCTTTTGTTAATATACTACTATTACTAGTTATTTTATTATTATAGTCAAATATAATTCAGCACACCCAGGGTTACAATAAAATCCAGAAGTTAAAATTGCAGAAATTTGATTGGATGAAAAAATTGATTTTTGTTATTGACCAATCAAACGACTGAAAAATCATCAAGGCTTCAGATCTCTGGGGGCTCATTCTCGAAAACTTTAATGAGATAAAATTCTGATTGGATAATTAAACAAAATTTAAAATCAATTTTAGTGATTGGCCAATCAGATGATAGCAAAACTAAAATCATCTTAAGTGAAGTTTTCAAGAATGAAGTCTCTGTACCAGTAAGGTTTGAATGATTTATTGATATTCTAGTTTAGCTTGTATTTGAAAACTATAGAGGCATTGTGAAATCTAGTCCGAAACATCTGTCTTTATTTCAGACACTGATAGACATCGAGGACTGGAATAGAGACAGATGTTTCAGACTTTGAAATCATAAAATAAAAAATAGTTGAATCTCAATTCCTGCTATTAAGAATAATGCAATAGAAAATTTCACACTTGATGAAAATGAAATTTATGATTTTGATATGCCACATGTCTACTATAGGAGTGTATATATTGGTTGAGGAAATGGACCCTGGATGTGCATTATTCTAATTGACCTACTTCTTCTCTATAAATCATTGATCTGTAATTATTGTTTATTATTTTTATATTATTGTTTTTGTTGTGTCGCTCTTTGTTCGTGTATTATGTTTTTGCTAAGTGTAGCCATTTATTAAGAATTTCAAGTCAATTTCTACAAACAAAAAAAAAATTATAAGGTTTTCTTTTCAAACTATCAGTAATAATCAAATCAAATCAATTCACTGCATTTATAAACTTCTATGACACAAGAATTTTTACCATTGAAGTCAAGATATAAGTTGATGTTGATAATAACTGAATATTGTGAAGACTTAGTTCATAATAACTTGACATTATGAAGCTGGTGAAAATAACACTATTTTTATTGTGAGATTTTTAAAAAGCAAGTTGAAGCTGATTCACTTTTGTCTGTTTATAAAAACACCTGGCCTCAGGGCCACTAAACTTTTTTTCATACTTACCTGAGATTTTACTTAAATTTAAGCAGCTATTACAGGTATATAATGATTGTATCAATGAAAAAAACAACAACAATCTATTCCTTTAGTTCACACTGTTTCTGGTATTATCACAGTAATCTTCAAATTTTACCTTTTCTTATTCATAATGAATTTGAGTAAAAACTAAGCTGAATATGAGAATGTGTTGTGGTACTAGGGCCTGATGTCACCTAACTCCTGGTTGAAAACCAGAGTGTAGTCATGGTTATATGTTTCTGTATATTTCACTTTTTCTTTTCAACACTCTAGCGATTAATTGAAAAATATATATTTTTGTATGTTATTCAAAGAAAAAAGGATCTAATCCTGTAGAGCACTACTCAGTTTCAAATTGTCTTATTTTATTGGTCATGTGTCTACCATAGTAACTTACTATACTCCTCAGTTATTATTTCAAGAGCTTTGATTGGTCAAATAAGCGAAGAATATTGAAGCTGACCAATCAGATTTGTTGAAATAATCAAGTAAAGTTATCCTTTGCAAAATGGCTATAATATGTTTGTATTTGTATTAATACTGATTATATTTATTTTTGTATATTCTCTTTTATAGCAAAACCTTGCCGAAATCAAAACATTCTATGCTAAACTGCTATTTGATGTTGTGTTGATGATAGTCCGAAACATCTGCCTAAATTCATGCCTGTGATAGCTATATTGAAAGGTGTCGTCTGTCATATCTATCAGTAGATGGAATAGAGGCAGATGTTTCAGACTATGTTAATGGTAGTTTTTGTGAGAATGGAATGTGGGTTTTTTTATTAAAAATAATGTGTACTATTATTCTTGGTTTCTAATCTAAAATACAAAATTCTATGAAATTTTCAAAGTTTATTTTTTGGGCACAAAACTAGGTTAAAATAGAATTCTACATACTAAAGCTCCATAGATATATTAAAACAGAACCTGAAACATGTTGCTACTTAGACAAGTTGTCTGAAGATCGCACAGCATGAAACTAAGTAACAACATGTTTCTGGTTCTGTTTTAATTGATGTATTGAGCACTATTTTAACAGTGGCATTTCTATATGGCTCTACAATTGATGTATTGAGCACTATTTTAACAGTGGTATTTCTATATCGCTCTACAATTGATGTATTGAAAACTATTTTAACAGTGGTATTTCTATATCGCTCTACAATTGATGTATTGAGCACTATTTTAACAGTGGCATTTCTATATCGCTCTACAATTGATGTATTGAGCACTATTTTAACAGTGGTATTTCTATATCTCTCTACAATTGATGTATTGAAAACTATTTTAACAGTGGTATATTGAAAACTATTTTAACAGTGGTATTTCTATATCGCTCTACAATTGATGTATTGAAAACTATTTTAACAGTGGTATTTCTATATCGCTCTACAATTGATGTATTGAACACTATTTTAACAGTGGTATTTCTATATCGCTCTACAATTGATGTATTGAGCACTATTTTAACAGTGGTATTTCTATATCGCTCTACAATTGATGTATTGAGCACTATTTTAACAGTGGTATTTCTATATCGCTCTACAATTGATGTATTGAGCACTATTTTAACAGTGGTATTTCTATATCACTCTACAATTGATGTATTTTTTGATTTTGTTACTTGTACTAAAGTTTGGTATACAGATTATGAAATGCAAGTTTTACTTGTCACTTATCAAAAAACAATATATTATTGTATTTAGGGGCAGGAATTAGTGTTAAATCCTATTTTATGAAGCTGGCATCCTTCTACTATAAAGATTGTAGATGTTCAAAATGAAATTAATTTGTAGACAATGTAAATCTTGCAAAAACTCTAATAAAATGGCTTGAGTGAAGGAGTTCAGTATTGGTGATCAAAACCATTTGAGACAAGTAACAGAAAGGTTGGCATTGTTGTTTATGAAAATTTCATTAAAATGCAGATCAAAATCACTTTGTTTTGTGTTTTTTCTCTGAGCTAATTTTACTCAAATGGGTCCAATATATTGTTTTGGATTTCTGGATTGTTTTGCAGTTCGAATCGATAGTACTTGATTTATTAATTCTGCATTTTAATCAGATTGAAAATACTTCAAAAATATTATTTTCCTGCCTAAATGTTGATCATTAATGACTGCATTGAGATCATTAAAAACAGTGTCATTTGAATTTCAGAGTGTAGTTGTGATATTTCGTGTAAATACAAAATTTAATATCAGTGCCAACCTTTTTCTTATCTAAC